TTGGAGGAACTGAGAGGAACTGACCTGGAAGCCTTTTGTCCCTGGGAACTAGCTCTCAGTGTCTGAAGGTGTTACGCAAGCTGCCAAGGAGAAGAGCAATCAATAGTCCTACCCAGCGGTAAAGTGTATGAACCGCAATGACCAGATCAGTGTGACAGTCCCCAGGGTGCAGTAGTGGCACTTATATTTTGGGAGTAACCAATAACCACCTAATTGGACTTGAGAACAGCTCAATAGGAGGGAATTTATGCCAAGTACTGAAAACTCAGCCATTAAGGATTGCCACTGGGGCTACATAGTGAGGCTGTGTTCCTATTTTCTGTATGTTTTCTAAAAGTCAAATGTTCTGTGGAGATTTTTTACTGTTAACTTTAGAAACGAAAGCAGATAGCTGGGCGGTAGTGGTGCACACCTTTTATCCCAGCACTCTGGAGGCAGAGGCAGGGGGATCTCTGTGAGTTCGAGGCCAGCCTGGTCTACAGAGTGAGTTCCAGGACAGCTAGGGCTACACAGAGAAACCCTGTCTCGAAAAACAAAAAACAAAAGAACAGACAGCAGATGTTTCATTCACCCTTTTATTACTGCTACCCAGGTGGAAATTATGTCCCTTTCATTATACTGACCATCCTAAACATTTCACATTTCTGAATATTCTCCACCCCTCCAAGCTGTTTTCCTTTTAAGGTGGTTTTTCCATCTGTAAGGAATGCCCTTCAGTTGGGAAATTCTGCCGTTCTCTGAGCTCCCGCTCAGTGATATCGTCTTTTCCTTCCTTGTCTCTCGGTCTGTGCGTTTCTTTCCTGAGCTCCTGCTGTACCCCACATGTATGTATCACACCTTGCACTCTGAGCTCTTGGGGGGCAAGGACTTACATCTGGTTAATCTTTGTATCCCTAGTGCCCAGCTAGTGCCTGGTCTAAGGCAGGCCTTAGCAAATACTTAGCAGATGGCTGGGTGGTTTTGCACTGGTCTTTAGGTCATCTTTGTATATAATAAGAATTTGGGATTTCTCTCTGAAGCCCAGAACAGTGTCAGTGTCCTCCACTGGTGAACCACGGGAGGCCCTTTGAAATTGTGCTTATTTTTATGAAGTATTTATTTGTTATGTATACAGTGTTCTGTCTACATGTATCCCTACATGTGGTTGCTGGGAATTGAACTCAGAAGCTCTGGAAGATCAGCTGGTGTTCTTAACCTCTGAGCCGCCTCGCCAGGCCCATGTCTAGAGTTTTATCAGGGTAAAATCATGTTTCTTGGCAGGCTTCCTCATTGTGGTTGGGGCTGAATTACCCAATGGGATAGCACAGATGGGCCGGTGGTGCTCATCTTCTCTTCTGCCTCAACACAACAGGGTATACAACCGAAGCATCATTCCTCAACTTGACAAGGCTATTAGGGGTGAAATCACATCTAACTGAGGTTCACCTTGCTTGACCTCTGGAACCAGGTGCCTGCAGAGTGCTCCACAAAGAGGCACTCCATGCTTAAACTTTGGTTCACTGTGTGTAACTTTCTTGTAGCTACCTGGTTGTACAGGTGCCTGGCCCGGGAGGCCTGTGTTGCATGGAAATACACCTGGTGCTGGTGGCAATCCCACTCAGCCTGATGAATCTGGCTGGAAGACAGATGTCTGCATTTGACTTACAAGACTAACTGCCAGTGATTAAGAGCACCTGAGTCCCAGACGTGTCTTTTTAGCACAGTGTGTATGGCCTGATATTGGAAGTCCTGGAATCTTTTCCCATTCTCCCCACTGTTCCCTTCTGTTTGTCATGAAACACAGACTGTGGTGTTACAGGCACTTAAGAGTTCCTTTTTGTCAGACAGGGCTGGCCTCGAGTTTTTATCTGTAGCTGAGAATGGCCTTGAACTTCCGACCCTTTGCCCACCTCATGTACTACAGTTATGCGAATGCGTGCACGTCAGAGTGGAATTCTTTGGTTGTTGGCCCTCTTCTTCCACCCACATGTGGGTTCAGGGCTCAAACTCACGTTAGCCATTGGGCCATCTCACTGGCCCCAATCAGGGGTTTTGTCTTATTTTGTTTAGACAAGGTCTCATCATGTAGCCAGCTGAAATCATAACAACAAGCAAAACCCCTGCTTCTGCCCCCTCCCAAGTGCTGGGACTACAGGTGTCTGCTAGATAATCACTCCTGGCTCGATCCAGGTCTAAAATCAGGCATCGAGAAGCACCTCGTGAGGTTAGTATGCTCTAACATGTGAGTCTTACCCCTGCTCAACAGCCAAGCTCCACACATTCTTTATTAGTATGTCTTTGGGTTCTGGAATTTGCAGAGCCCATAAATTCATTTTTCCCCACTATGCAGATGAACCTAGGACCTCATTCAAGCTAGGCAAGCAGTGTACCACTGAGATATAGCCTTAGGCCTTTTACATTATTTTGAGACAGTGTCTTGCTAAGTTATTCCAACTGGCCTCTGACATATGATCCTCCTGCCTCAGCCTCCCAGATAGATGGATTAAAGTCCTATATCATTAAGCCTGGGTTGAATTTCCCTTGCAAAGCATTGAAGCTGAATGGTCTCAGAAATCATCTTATCCAACTCGCTTATTTTACAGACTGTTGAGACACCAAGACCTGAAGAGGGGCTGAGCCCTGCCTGGTGTCATCCACTAGTGGGTGACAGAAGCTGGCAGCAGAACTAGTTCTCCAGAAATGACAGCTCTCCTCTTCCCAATACATTTTGCCAACTACAATGTAGTTGAGTTTTGGGGTTCAGATTTAGCAGTGTGTCTCAGTGGTTCAAAAGACATCTTGCTCCTTCGGTAGTGTAACTGCCCTCCTTCAGTAAGCAGCTAGCTTGTCCAGGGAACATGACATGACCCCATATGGGGACAGTGTGGTCCACTGAAAAAATTGGGGTAGGACACAGGTTGTGGGGTATTTACTAGTGACATACCCAAGAGACCAGAGACACCAGAGGCAATTATAACAAGTCCTCCTGCTCTTTGCCAAACTGACAGACTCACCTCTGCTTGCACCTCCAGGGGCATTCATGTGATCAGACTCTGCCCACTGTTTTGGTGTCATTCTCGTTTTACAGATGAAGAGACTGAGGGTTAGGTCATACTAATCAGAGCCTCCGTTTCAATCCAGATTTCCTGGCTGCAGTAAAGTGGTTAGGGTTAGTTTTGCATCATGGAAGCAGAGCCCTGGTAGAATTACCATGGCTGTGGGGATTGATGAGCTTGTGAGGTTAAAAGTGAAATAACTGGAGACCCCGAAGAACAGAAAGCATTTCATCCCAGTGCCTGGGGCACACTCTACTGGTAGCCAATATATCATTCTAAAGTAAATTAAAAAACAGTAAGAGTTGGGTGTGATGGCACACACCTTTGATCCCAGCAGTTTGGAGGCAGAGGCAGGCATATCTTTGAGTTCAAAGCTAACCTGATCTACATAGTGAGATCCAGGGCAGCCAGGACTATATAGTGAGACCCTTTCTCAAAAACACAAAAGCCAAGCTGACCTGACCACTTACTTCCCGGATTCAGTAGCAGGTTGGCTACAGAGGCAGTGGGGAGCTGCAAACCCTTCCAGCTGTGGAGAATGTACCATAGCGGCATAGATCCAACTGGGCTCTTCTCTCCACCTTTGTCTCTTTGGGCTTCAAATCTCAGTCCCCCATTTCTGCAAGTGAGTCAGTATCTAAAGAATTACTACTGGCCGGGCGTTGGTGGCCCACTCCTTGAATCCCAGCACTTGGGAGGCAGAGGCAGGCGAATCTCTGTGAGTTCGAGGCCAGTTTGGTCTACAGAGAGAGTTCCAGGACAGGCTCCAAAGCTACACTGAGAAACCCTGTCTCAAAAAAACAAAAAAAAATTACTACTGTTGTTGTGGTAGCTTGGATGTAATTCCGCCCCTCCCCATAAGCTCATGGGGGGAGTGCCACTATTAGGAGGTGTGGCCTTGTTGGAGGACATGTGTCACTGTGGGGGTGGGTTTTGAAGTTTCATACATGCTCAAGTCACTCCCAGTCTCTGTTCATTTCTTGTTGCCTTTGGGTCAAGATGCAGGACTCTCAGCTCCTTCTCCAGCGCCATGTCTGCCTGCCTGCCACCATGTCCCACCATGACGATAATGGACTGAACCTCTAAACTGTAAGCCACCCCAATTAAAGGTTTTCTTTATAGGAGTTGTCGTGGTCATGGTATCTCTTTACAGCAATAGGAACCCTAGCTAAGGCAGCTGTACTTGCTCAAATATTGACTGGATGAGAGGATGAATAAGGAAAGAGAGGACTGAAGGAAGAGACCGGTTGACTGATATGGATCTATTTATTAGCAAAGGGTCCTAAAAAGCCAAGACCACACCCTCCCCACCCTCTTCCCTGCAAAAATAAACTCTTTCCTTTTCTCTACTAGGTCTACTTTTCTGCTTGGCCCAGGGACAATCAGCCATCCCTAAGACTCACACCCTGAAACACAGGGAACCAGCACGAACTATATACATTCACATTTCTCCTCTCACCCGAGATAACCCTTGGCCTTCCACTGAGTCCAGTTGCTCTGTCCTTGAGGGGAGCCGCAGTACTAGGAGCATGAGGAACATGGGTGGGGGAAGCTGAGGGTGGGATGAAGGGAATTGAGTTCATTTCCATACAGTACTGAGTATGCCTGGGGAGAGATGGGCACGCCCCCGGCGTATCCTTTTGGCCCCCAAATTGAGTAAGCTTGAAGAAGCCAGAATTCTCTCTGTAGGAACTGGCACTTCAGCCTAGACTTCCTCCAGGGTGACACATGAAAGGATGTCACAGTGAATGGTGGGATCTCTGCTAGAGGCACAGGCACCCTCAATGCAGAGGCACAACGTGGTGGTGGTGGGGACTAGATTCCTGTCACTTGTGGTGTGGAGAGACAACCGTAGCGGCCGATCTTTACTTTCTCCTAACTCGGAAGCCTCAGCCCCTGGCCACAGTTGCCCGTCTCTCTCCCAACCCAGGTCTACCACACCTCGCATAGCTGCCCTGGGTTCATGGGGGAGCCGGCAGGGCAGCCGAAGTGCCGAAGGAAGTCACGGGAGTTGGAGAGAGTGCCCAGCACTCGGAAACGGGCAGGGCTATGGGGGTCGGTCACCAGCCCCTCGTGAGAGCTCTCTGGTGTGCGGACCGAGCACCACACCTGCGGGCCAGGACAGACATGGGGACACATGGGGTCTAGAGTGGAGCTGAATTAGGCCATAGCTTCAGCTACAGCAGAGCCATCTTGGTCCAGCTGGTGAGCTCAGGAGTTGTCAGGGCGACTGCGGGAGGCTTGGCCAACTCCAAGGGAGGGGAACATGCCTCCTCAGTTCCCTGAAGCCTCTAAAGAACACCTGGACCCTGGGTGTGGCTGTGGGGAAGGCTTTAAGAATGTCTGCTGTGGTGTAAAGTACTTGAAAGAAGCCCTGCCTGGGTACTAACTCTACTTCTAATTTTAATCCCTAGGTAACCACGAACAAGCCATTTTGTATTCCCAAGCTACAGTTTCTCTCTCCACATTCCCCCATAGTAACAGGAGGGGATCTTTGCTTGTTCCGGGTGCACTCCACTAAAGCCAGCGGCCCTTCCCTTCAAACAAAATCCTCCTGAAGACTTCACTCTCAGGCTACTTGCCTGGGCTCTGGACACCAGGCTTTCTCTCAATGCACTTCCCACGTGGCCGCTGTGGGCCCCATTTCCCAGCGCCTTTCCTGCATGACCCCAACTTTTCCCAATGGCATGCTTTGGAGGGAGTGGACAGGAGACACACCCAGTTCTCCCAAGGGGCCATACCTGGGCAAATCCCACAAAGAACAGCTGGTGATTGGTGAGCCCCACGGCAGGCAGCTGTTGCTCCTCCCCATGCGTCCTTAGCCACGCTTTGTAAGCCTAGGGGACAATAAGAAGCAAGTCGCCACCGCCTCGCCTGCTCACTTTACCAGGCACCCTTCTCCACAGCGGGGAGACCAGGGCCACTCACTTTGTAAGCGGCCTTAAGGCCTCCATTATCGGCAATGTTTTCCCCCAGTGTCTGCAGTCCGTTGAGCCTCTCTCCATTGACCTGGTACTGGTTGTACTGTTCTTCCATGCAGGCTGTATGGTTCTGGAAAGCTGTCAGGGACTCATTCTGCCACCAAGGACGCAGATTTCCCTCTTTGTCATACTCACGCCCTGACAAGAAATCATCTTTGCATCCCACCAACAAGACAACTCACCCACAGGGGAACAAATGCCCCAACCAACGTAGACCAGAAGATACCAGGGTCCCCAGGCCTTGTCCCCACCCTCCCCAACCCCTGCAGTAGCCACTGGAAATTATAGGCCAGGCCCCCACCTTGGTCATCAAAGGCATGTGTCAACTCGTGGCCCATCACCACGCCGATGCCACCGAAGTTCAAGGCCCTAGCAGATGAGGGACGCTGAATAAAACCATAGCGAGAGCTTCTCCTGTCCCTCTATCTCTTCTCCCAGCTCCCCCGCATGACCGGGCCCCACCACCCAGACCCCCAGGGCCTCAGACACACTTTGGGTGGTTGTGAGCATAGAAGGGGGCCTGCAAGATGCCAGCAGGGAAGACGATTTCGTTCTTGGTTGGAAGGTAGTACGCGTTCACAGTCTGCGGCGTCATGCTCCACCTTGGGGAGGAAGATGCAGCCTGGGCCCCTTCTGCTCCTCATGCTCCCCAGCCCGACAGCCCAGGTCTGCCCTGCCTGGCTCCCGAAGGGCCTTGGGCCGCTGCTCACCCCACCCCGGGAGCCCTGGTCTACCTCTCCGGCTGCCCCATGTGCACCCTCCCATTCTCACTGGTCTCGGCTGGGAGGTTTGCGGAGCTGGTCAGCCATCACCTTAGCAGAGAAGTTGTACAGGTTCAACATGTTTTGGAAGAATGAATCTTCAGAGACTTCATACTGTGGGAATAGTGGAAGGGAGAGAGCAAGTGACAACATGTTGGAGGTGAGAGTTCCAGTCTCCTTCACTGTGAAATGGAAGGAAACAGCTAACTGACGACATTTTAAAGGTACTTATACTTCAAGAGCTTTTTTCTTTTTTTTCCTTTCTTTTTTTTTTTTTTGGTTTGAGGAAGGTTTTCACTGTTAGTATTTACTATAAGTGTGGGGACAACAGACCTTGGGCAGAGACCCACTTTCCCATCAGCCTGGGAGTAGGCAGCTGTAAGACAATGTTTACTAAAAACAATACAATGTCCAGGGCAATAAGTTCCTGAAAAGGGCTGGCCCATGGGAACCGCCCTATCCTAGACCTTTTCCAAAAACTAACCCCCTCTTCTGACCACCACCCAAGTCAGCCTCTGGTGTCAGGGTATATAATAACCAGCCAGAGTAGGAATAAAGGAGAGCCTTCTTGAGGAGCCTTCTGGTCTGTGCCATCAATCCCAACACCCTCCGCACATTCTTGGATACAGGCTGCGCAGAGGGTGCGGCAATAAGGACTAGGCTAGCCTTGAACTTACAGAGCTCTACCTGCCTCTACTTCCTAAGTGCTGCTGGGATTAAAAATATGGGCCACCACCATTCCCCCTCCCCCACTTACAAGGTTTCTCTGTGTAGCCCTGGCTGTCCTGGAACTTGCTGTGTAAACCAGGCTGGCCTCGAACTCAGAGATTCACCTGCCTCTGGGATTAAGGGTGTGCACCACCACTGTCTAGCATTTTTTAAAAGATTTATTTAGATTTATTCATCACATACACAGTGTTCTGTCTGCATGTATGTCTGCAGGCCAGAAGAGGGCACCAGATCTCATTATAGATGGTTGTGAGTCACCATGTGGTTTCTAGAAATTGAACTCAGGGCCTCTGGAAGAGCAGGCAGTGCTCTTAACCCCAGAGTCATCTCTCCAGCCCCTCCCCCCAGGCCATTTTTTTAATCATACATTTCTTTTGTTCTTATCACCCTGTGAGGTGAGTACTGTTAAAACCCCATTTTACAGATGAAAATGAGGTTCAAAGACACCCTATCCAAACTTACCCAGAGTAGGAACATGATCGAGTTAGTCTGCACTCCAAAGCCCTACACTCAGTAATGCTATATTTTACTGCCATCTGGCCCATATCTGGCCAACCCACATACTTAAGCAATCTAATTGCTTGTGTCTACTCTACAGAGGCTACCTTGAACTTCGATTACTGAGGCTGGGGAATAATGGCTCCTGATTCTGAAGGTTAGTGCTGTGAAAAAAGGTACTCACCCCATCATAAACATCATCCAGCTCTTTGGGCTCCAAGATGAAGTCAGGGAAACCGATCATATCATAGATAGCATCTGCCTGAAGAGACTACGTTAAGGATTTCCCTCCCTGTGCCCAGCAAAACCGTATCCTCTATTACCACCTCAAGATGGCGCCCCAAACACAGCCATGGCTCACTTTCTCCTTGGCTGCCAGCCGGGTCTTCTCGTCCATCCAAACCAGCTCTTCCAGGGTCTCCTCAAAAGCAGACCGGATTTCACTGATCATCCCCTCCGCCTGGGAGGGAAGGTCACAAGTCAGCCTCCCCCACACTTACTGCCTCCCGGCTCCCCATCCACCCTCAGCCACCATCTGGGTCTATCCCGGAGTCCTGGGATTATGAAGACTCCTGAAAAGGCTGCCCAGTGGGGAGGATGAGATGCCCCACAGGTGACAGGATTGTTATTGTGGGTGGCTTTTTTCTAATTAATTGAATATAAACATTTGAATCGGCAGTTAAGCACATTAATATTATAGCTTCATATACTACTACATGGATCTCTATCTGGTTATGAAAGAAATGCATGAACAAAGTTTGTACAATTGAAAATTGAAGGAAACCAAACATTTGTAATCTCATCACACAGCTATCTTCTTTTTAACAGTCAGGCTATTCCTAGTGTTTTTCCTGGCCCAGAAAGTCTTACAAAATATGGAGCTGTGTTATGCAACATGTATATATTTTTGCAATCTACTTTGTCCTGCCTAAAGACGTATCACTCCACCAGGTATGGAAGGCAGAGGCAGAAGGACCATCAAGGATCACAAGTCTAAGGTCAGCCTGGTCTACAATAGTGTATGCAGGCCAGCCTCAGCTCATGGTTTCTTACTTGTAGGTAACAAACTTGTCAAGCATGATGTTAAGGGCTCCAGATGCAATACTGGCACCACCAATTTATTTTTTAATCTAAAAAATAAAGCCAGGCATAGCTGTTTAATTTAAAAACTAAATTCTAGCTGGGTGGTGGTAGCACATGCCTTTAATTCTAGCTCTTTGGAGGCAGAGGCCAGCAGATCTCTGAGTTCAAGATCAGCCTGGTCTATAGAGTAAGTTTTAGGGCAGCCAGGGCTACACAAAGAACTCCTGTCTCAAAAAATGAAAAAAGGTTTTTTAATAAATAAGACATTTTTCTTCAGTTTCAAAGTGGAATCTGGGGCTAGAGAGATGGTTCACAGAGAACAGGGTTCAATTCCCAACACCCACATGGCAGCTCACAACTGTCTGTAACTCCAAGACCTGACACCATCACACAGACATACATTCAGGTAAAACACCAATTCACATAAAGTAAAAATAAATTAATTAAAAAAAGAAAAGAGGCTGGGCGTTGGTGGCGCACGCCTTTAATCCCAGCACTTGGGAGGCAGAGGCAGGCAGATCTCTGTGAGTTCGAGGCCAGCCTGGTCTACAGAGCGAGTTCCAGGACAGCCTCCAAAGCCACAGAGAAACCCTGTCTCGAAAAACCAAAAAAAAAAAAAAAAAAGAGAATCATATTCCATTCTATTATTTATATTTCTTTTATGCCATGATTGGACATTTCAGTTTGTTTCATTTCTCCCTATAAACAACTCTTCCATAAACATTTAATATTTAAGCACACCTATTATTATCTCTTAGTATTATTTATTTATTTATTTATTTTTTGGTTTTTTGAGACAAGGTTTCTCTGTGGCTTTGGAGGCTGTCCTGGAACTCGCTTGGTAGTCCAGGCTGGTCTCGAACTCACAGAGATCCGCCTGCCTCTGCCTCCCGAGTGCTGGGATTAAAGGCATGCCCCACCAACGCCCGGCTTCTTAGTATTATTTTTGATAATTATATAGGTAACATAAAGCCCACACCTTTAATGCTAGCACTCAGGAGGTAGCAGCAGGTGAATCTCTGAGTTTGAGGCTAGCTTGGTCTACAAATCGAGTTCCAGGACAGCCAAGGCTACACAGAGAAATCCTGTCTCAAAAAACCCAAATATTTGTACACTCACAGAAAACTTTAAGGAACCCGATGCCCCATGATCCCACCACCCGATTTGCTGTTTAATGAACTCCCTTCCCAGTTTTTCTATGCATGCACACATATATGGCCAGCAGACTTTTAAACAGAGGGTAGTTTTAGAAGCCTGAAGACTCACGATTTCCTTGCTTTGTCGGTCGAACGTGGCCTTCACAAAGAGCGAACCCAGAGCGAAGCCAAGGGCATCATCTGTGTTGGAGATGCAGGTCTGCCACCTCGGTGTACAGGACTGTAGGGGCAAAGAGCAGGGTCCCCAGGGAGAGCACTGACCTCTCCCTCTCTGGGGCTAAGCCTCTCAGCTGGGACCAGACACCTGAGCTTGGGGCACCATCTCTCCTTCAGACTCCAGAGACAGGTAAGGCGATGTCTCAAGCCATGATGACCCAGAAGCAAGCTTCAGCAGAGAAGAGCTAGGCATGCCACCCACTCGTTCTCAGTTCCCACTCCTGCTATGTTCCCAAGAGTCTCCCTCAGACTGCAGACGCTTCTTCTTTATTATGTTTACTTTTCGGGGTGGGGGACACTCTGGCCTACCATGGTCCAAGTGGGGAGGTCAGAAGACAGCCACCATGTGGGACCTGGGATCAAACTCAGGTCATCAGTCTTGGTGTCAAGTGCCTTTACCAGCTGTTCTGAGCCATCTTTTTGTCTTTTTTTTTTTTTTAAGAGAATTGGCCACACGGCAGCTTCTTTCTTTCTTTCTTTCTTTCTTTCTTTCTTTCTTTCTTTCTTTCTTTTTTAAGATTTTTTATTTATTTATTATAAACACAACAACCTGCCTCATGTCCGTCTGCAGGCCAGAAGAGGGCACCAGATCTCATTATAGATGGCTGTGAGCCACCATGTGGTTGCTGGGAATTGAACTCAGGATCTCTGGAAGAGCGGTCAGTGCTCTTAACCTCTGAGCCATCTCTCCAGCCCCTTGTTTTTTGTTTTTTTTGTTTTTTTGAGACAGGGTTTCTTTGTGTGGCCCTGGAACTCGCTCTATAGACCAGGCTGGCCTTGAACTCACAGAGATCCACCTGCCTCTGCTGGGATTAAAGATGTGCACCAACTCAGCCCAGCTGTTCTGAGCCTCTTTGCTGGCCCAAGTTTAGAAGTTTCTTTGCTCCGTTCTACAATTCAGGCCATCAGTCCACTGTACCAGAAACCTGGGCATCACCCCAGCTTCCTCTACTGCCTCCCTCCCAATCCAGTCCATCACTAGCCACCCTCACCATTTCTTGTGCAGCCTGTCACCATTTCCCTGTCCTATAGCACTGGCATCACTTGTCATAGTCAGTCTTCTTTTGTTGTTGTTGTTTTGTTGTGTTTTTTTTTTCCAAGACAGAGTTTCTCTGTGTAACAGTTATGGCTGTCTTAGAACTCGCTCTATAGACCAGGCTGGCCTTGAACTCACAGAGATCCGCCTGCCTCTGCCTCCCAAGTGCTGGGATTACAGGCGTGTGCCACCACTGCCTGGCAATAACCAGACTCCTTAACATAACTGCCATGGAGGTGCCATGCCCACCTTACCAGTCTGCAGCCTTGTTCTCAAGCGCCTGCCAGAACCCTTGCAAAAGCACCAAGCTCCTCCAGGCTTGTGCGAGTTTGCAAATGTATGTGTTCCTTTTGCCTGCAGTGTCCTTCTCCCCTGCTTTCTCAGGATCTCATTCCACACATGGCATCTTCTGAGAAAATTTTCCTGTTACCTCCCGTGTTGCTACCCACATAGTGTACCTGCTCCAGCTTCAGCTTTATAGTACGAAGGTTCTTAGCTCATTGTGAACAATTAATACTCTCAAAATATATGCATTTGCTTGCAGTTTTACTCCCCATACTTAATGAGGCCCCGAAATGAAGAGCAGCACTTGGTCATTTCCATTGCCAACATCAAAGGTGAATGCCCACACACAACACATGCCGACTTTAACTTGAGCCAGCCTTGAAACTTATTCCTGCTACAAATGAGGAACTGGAACCAATTCTCATGTCCCCAAGGTGCGACAGGCTACAATATAAGGAACTAGGATTGGAAATTGTAACAGCTTGATTCTGAACTCTGTGTTCCATACCATGCACTCGTGTGCCATGGAGCAAACATTCCTGACACAGTTTGGACAGGTAGCAGCAGCTAGGTTTGTTCAGAAAGGAAGCAGAGTCAGAAAGCCCACCTTCTTCGTGCCGTAGAGGGTCTCCAGCAGCTTCTCCTGTGCAGACTCAAAGCGCTGGTCAAGGCTTGAGGTCGTCTTCTGCACCAGGTTCCAAATTAGATAATTGTTCAGGATGCTATTTCCATACCAGAAAATAAGGAAAGACATGTAGGGAACCCTTTCTCCTCCCAGCCCATCCCAGAACCATGCAGGCTACAGGAATCCTGAGAAGTGTGTGGGAAGTAGTCCTGAAGGCTTACTCTGGGACACAAGTGCCCACAAAAATCAGCTAGGAATAGAGGTCACAGAACCTTCCCAGGGAAAGTCTACAAGCATTCTGATCTGAAGTCTGGAAGGCCGGGGCCTTATCACTCAGTCGGTGTGCCAATTCACTGTGGTTGGTCCTTCCAAGAATCTCCAGAGTCCCGAGTCCCATCCACAACCAGTACCCACCCCGCACAGCCACCATTCCCATTCCCAAGTCACACCTTGGTTCTGTATGGTTGATGAGCTCCGACACCTGTTGTAAATACTCAGTCCCATACACCACCACAGGCTCAGAGTCACCCAACTCCAGTGGTGACAGCAAGAAAGAAAGGAACTCGAGCCAGTCCATCGAGGGTGCTAGAGTCTGAAAGCAGAAACTCGTCAGGCTTCCCTGCCTTCCCACGGGGCTCCCAACAGACTCTCTCCCCACGGATATGCTATAGCCTGGGCATCTTTCCCGTTACCATAGTAACAGTTACTGGCTGCTTGGGGACCCCTTCCTGCATTAAATGCTTTTCCAGGCCCGAATGCCCTGCAGTCTGGGAGCTGAACCACTTATTATTATACAAGGAAAGCCACTATGTGTGATATTCAGCTTGGGCATAGAAATTCAAATATTTTCATGCCGGTTGATAAAACAGGACTTCCTCAACACATCCCACATACCTGGCCTCTCTCTAGAATCTCCTTTTCCCTAATTTCCCTAATTCAACACCGAAAAGGCTGACACAGGAGGGGGCACTAGGAGATCTTCCATACACATTCTGATTATTTTCTAGATATCTCATCAATTTTCCATTTACTTGCTTGCTTGAGACAGGGTCTCACAGTGTAGCCCAAGTTGGCTTGGAACTCACAGAAATCCTCCTGCCTCAGTCTTCCAAGTGTTGGGGTTACAGGTGTGGACCACCATGCCTGGCTAAACATTTAAAACACAATCCCTTTATGTAGTCCAGGGCAACAAGAAGGAGACTAAAGGATGGTCTTGAGGAAGGTGGCTTGAAATGTTGACCGTTTTTCTTTCCAGTGTAGCGCTACACATCTGGAACGCTCCCAAAAGCAGGAAACGGAAAGGACTGACTGCCCCAGGAAGAGGGTGGTCTTTCTCAAGGGCTGGCCTCTCCCTAATGTCTCTAGTCCCCTGCCTGCCCCACCTGCAGCTCTGAGATGCTCATCTTGTGATAGATCTTCTCCTCATCACGTCGCTGGTCCTGGGGCACAGTGATGTTAGCCAGCTGTGTTTCTAGCTCCAGGACTTGCTGCATCTGCTGCCGGGTAGAGGCCGGCTGCCCACCCAGCAGTATCCCCAGCTCCTCCATGTAGTCCAGGTAGGCTGTCAGCACCTGTGAAGACCCCGGGCATCCTCAAAGCCAGGAACAAACCTTGCCCAAGGCGAAGCTCTGCCCTGGCCCTCACCTCTTCCCACCATTTCTTTGGCTTGATGCGCTTCATGGAAGTCTTGGTGGCTCTGTTTAATTTCTGATCCATTGCTGCCACTGTCTTCTCTGGCTTGCTTAATTACCTGTGCATTTATCATCTATTTCCCTCTGTGGACACTGTTCAGATTTTGTCAGCTGTTCACCACTGAATCCCACGAGCCTGGATCAGGGCCAAGCACAGAATTGGTCCCCTGTAAATATTTACCCAATGGACAGACTCCCATAGTGCTTAGCCTTCTCACTTCCTAACGCCCTTCTAATTGCCCCAGCCCATTAGGGGCCTTGTGCTTTTACTTGAACATCTGAATGGCTCCTGTAGGGAATCTGTCCCTTTGACCCCCTCTACCTCGCATCCTAACAGGCCTCAAATGTGATGTTCTCATCCTCACTTGTATCCAGGGGAGAGAAAAAGCACAGAAAAGGAATATTTATACTGACCATTATGTATCCACTGACCAGATGGCTTAGGGATAGTGTACCTTGCCCCACACCCTCACAACAGCTCCATAAAACTCATGTTAGTTCCAATCTCCATAGAGGGAGCAAGCTTGAGGAGATGAAGTAAGAAATCCTGTCAGAATGCGGTGGAACCCTGGGAGCACTTCCTGGGCCCAGCACAGACTCAGGTGGCCTCAGGCCAGGCTGGCACCATCAGGACAAGGTCTGCTTGCTTTGTTTGCCACTGGAACCTTGGATGCAAGTACAATGTCTTCCTTACGATAGGTGATCACTGAGTGTTGCAGAAAAGGAAAAAAACCATGCCGCTAGATCATCAGCTCTGTCAGCAACAACCTCGGTGTCTCCTCTCTTTAAGACGGCACAGCCCAGAGTGGTTTTGAACTCACAGTTCTCCTACCTTAGCTTTCACGGGCTAGAATTACAGGCACAGATCACTCCTGACTTCAAGTCCCACCCTGGGCTCACTTACTGCTAAAGGCCATCTCTTTTCTTCACTGAAAAGTTTTTGATCTCTTGACATTCAGTCTTTTGTTGTTATTGTTGTTTTGACTTTTTTGAGACAGAGTTTCACTGTGTAGCTTTGGCTGTCCTGGAATTCACTCTGTAGACCAGGCTGGCCTCAAACTCACAGAGATCCACCTGCCTCTGCCTCCTGAGTGTTGGGATTAAAGGTGTGCGCCACCACCACCTGGTGATATTCATTCTTCTTTATACTATAAAATCTCTCCTTTCCCCCACTCTCTTTATTGCTGCTGGTGTGGAAGAGTATCAGTCCATCCTATTCCAGCTTCTAAGGGAGATAGCGTTGACCCCTCAAGGACCTGACACATGTACTTTCCCTCCCTGCCCCTTGTCCTCAGCTTAAAGCATAATTCTTGGATCCTCCACACTCCTAGCTTTTGTCCTGTCTCAGCCATTGCACTATGTCTTCCCTACATTGTGGGAAGAGACTTCCTGCCTGAGGAAACCAGTGATGCAATGGGCATGAAATACAAGGCTTTCCCCAAAGCAGTATGGTCCTTCCCTGCATTCTCCTGCACACAACACATAAACATACAAGCACGCACCGAGGCATGGCCTGCCACTCATGTGAAGGACGAGGACTGCTCTTGAGAGCTGGGTCTCTCATGTCACCTTGTGGGACCAGGAACCGAAACCTGTACCAGCTAGGTCATCTCTCCAGGGGCCCATTTCCCTTCTTTTGGGATGAAGCCTGAACAACTTGCCAGCTACGGGAATATGTGTATATAGTCCTAACACTGAAGGCTGGAGGAGAAAAATCCCCTAAAGCCTACTCCATTCCACCATCACTCAGCCTTATAGTGTCAATCGTCCTTACCTCTGTCCTCTTCTAACATCCAGTAGCTAACAAGCCACGATTCTACTTGATATGTCTTGTAACCTCAACCTAGCATTCACTGCCTGCCACTCCCTCACCTGGGCCCCTACTGACTCAGAATCCAGGCATTGCAGAGACTCTCATCTCCAGGCTTCCTCCCCTGCACGATCTTCTTACTTCCAGACAAACTGACTTCCCAAGGCACTGCTAACCCCATCTCTCCATCCCTGCTCTGCAACCTGGAGCTGACTTTTTTGGGCTACAGAATAAGGCTTTGAAGCATTCAAAAATCTTCTCCATAACCAGTCACTGACCATCTTCTAGTCTCCCATGCATTCAGTAGCACATCTTGCCAAACCATATTTCCTGTTACATTCCAAACACATCTATCCTCTCTGGTGTCAACATTTTTGCTCAACACATTCTCTCTATGCAGAATGCCCTCAGTTGTTCCCTGGGCCCTTCCTTATGGCCCAAACACACTTGTTTAACCTGTCTCTACATAGGATTGCCTCTGTTGATCCTTTATAGTGTTCTTTCAAAATTACATCTCTCTCTCTCTCTCTCTCTCTCTCTCTCTCTCTCTCTCTGTGTGTGTGTGTGTGTGTGTGTGTGTGTGTGTGTGTTTTGCATGAGTGCAGAGGTCAAAAGAAATCTTGGAGGAGACAGTTCTTTCCTTCTGTCATGTGTTCCTAGGGATTTGATTCAGGTCACCAAGCTCGACAGCAAGTGCCTTTACCTGCTGGCCATGGTGCTGTCCCACTTCTTTGCTTTTATAGGGCCCAATTGAAATGTGATCTCCTATGAGAACTCCTGGATGCCTGCACCTCACCTAAGTCCTACAGACCTTTTGAGCCATGTTCTCAGGCACTTAGATCCACACGTCTATTGATATCAAGAACTTCCTATGATAGTGACTCTGAAACTTACATCTCAGAATTGCCCCAGAGCTCTGGCATACATGGTATGCATGAAATGTCTTCCCAGGACTGGGGATGTAGCTCAGCGATAGAATGCTTGCCTAGCATGTATGAGACACTGGGTTTGCTTCCCAGTACCACAAAAAGAAATAAAAGATTTTTTTTTCGAGACAGGGTTTCTCTGTATTGTTTTGGAGGCTGTCCTGGAACTCGCTCTGTAGACCAGGCTGGCCTCGAACTCACAGAGATCAGCCTGCCTCTGCCTACCGAGCGCTGGGTTTAAAGGCATACGCCACCAACGCCCGGCTTGAAAAGAATTTTTTTCCTGATAGAAATAATAGGAAGAAGAGGATGGAGGAAAGAGGAGAAGGAGAAAGAGAATCAAGGAAAGAAGAAGGGATAAAGGACAGCCTGTTTGCTAGGCAGCACAACAGGCTCACTGTCCCCACTCTGACCCTGGGCAAAGAGTAAATATTATAGGGATCAGCCAGCTCAGAAAGGGATGAAGACAGGAGTTCCAGGATGTGTCTTACTTTCTCATTGGCAGTTCTATTTAGGTAGTAATCTCGAGAGGGCAGGAAAAGCCCAGACTGGTCCACCTGCAATAGCAACAGGTAAAGGTTAGTCTCTCCCACTTAAGCCCAAGACTCCTGTGCATAGCGGAGGGAGGTATTCAGCCTGCCTGTTGGGGAGAGGAAAGCTTGGCTCACTTGGCAAAGGTTCCACGAGCCCCTCCCGTTCCCCAGCCAGGCACCTGGATGACATTGCTGTTGGAACTCTTGGCATCAGCACTGACATAGACAGTAAAGAATGGAGTGGCTCTGTAGGTCCCTGCTACTGCCTTCAGCACATCCATGAAGTTGTCCTCATCCCAAGGCCCTGTGATGTTCCAACCACCGATCTGAGTAGAGATCATAAGCGAAATCTCTGGTCCAGGGTCTCCCAGAACTTCCTTGGACCACATTCTGTCCCTCCTACTCCCCTTGCCCGAAGCCCACCCAGTGCCTGCCTTGTCAATGAGGTCTCGAAGTGGCTGGGCTCCTAGCTTCTCAATACGCTCCAGCTGTAGGCAGGACAGGTAGAAGCGCCGTGTTTTCCGCTCAGCTTCACTGCTGGAATTGAAAGTGGTATTCTCTGCAATGGTAGAACAGGGGGCAGGATCCAGGGAGCAGTTAGACTAACTTCTGCAGAGGAGGCCCTGGCCTTCATTCCTCTCTTTGTGTGCGTGCGGTGCGTGCGTGCGTGCGTACGTGTGTGTGTGTGTGTGTGTGTGTTTGTGTGTGTGTGTATGTATGTGTATTTTGTGTTACTGGGGATTGAATTTAGGGCCTTTCACATGCTAGACAAGTACCCTCCCACTGAGCTATAATCCCAGTCCTCTTTCTACTTTTGGTAAAGTCAAAAATAGGGTCTTAATAAGTTGCCCAGGCTGGCCTTGACTTGACCTTCCAATCCTCCTGCCTCAGTAACTGGAAGTATTGGCATATATTGGCAAGCCAGGTTCCTTCCCCCCCCCCCCATAGTCTCACTATATAGTCCTGATTGGGCCTGGAACTTACTACATAGACCAGGGTAGCCTCAAACTCACACAGATTCACCTGCTTCTGCCTCCTCCCATGTGCAGGGATTTTGAAACAAGGTCTCACCATGTAGTAGCCCTGGCTGTCCTGGAACTCACTCTGTAGACCAGGCTGGCCTGGAATTCACAGAGATCCATCTACCTCTGCCTCCAGTACTGGAATTAAAGGTGTGTATCACCCATGAAGACTGGAAGAGCGGTTGGGGCTGTCCCTCCTGTGTTTGTGGAGACCCTCAAAGAAGCCTCTGCTATTCTTAGAGGTCTGCCCCATCTAATCCAGCTCTGGTTACCGAGAGCTCCCTCAGGGATGTCACAGGGTTATCCGTGCAGTTCTTCCCTCATGGATATTTCTTGAGTACCCACTAAGTGCTAGGCCATGCGGTAGATGTGAACCCTAAGATGGGCACATTTCTCCTGAAGCTGTCACTCACCAAGCAGATGCTTCAGTATGGCCTGGTTCTGGTCCCAGAGGCTGTTGAAGGTGTTCCATCGAGAACGCCCATTGGGCAGAGGGTTTCTTCTAATCCAGCCTCCACAGGAGAACTGATAAAAGTCCTGACATGGGCTCACCCCACGGTCCAGAGATTCCAGAATTTTCCCAGCCACTCGAATGCAGGCTTCTGTGAGGCAAGTGTTATGGGCTGGGTCTGTGGTGGGAGACATGGAGGAAGGTCGGAGACTGTCAGTCAGGATGGAAGAAGAGAACCTTTTAAGAAGGCAATGACATCAGGAAGTTGGGAAAGCTAGCCCCAACATGAAAAATGTTTAGAGGCCCTTCAATTTCTAGCCCCCACAGCTATGAGGACTCCTGACAGGTGTGGACCCACCTACCTCTGTGGTACTGGACCCACAGAGCCACGAGGCAGCCCAAAAGAAGGGCAGCCAGTACTAGAGAGAGGCCTGCCAAGACCAGCTCCAGCTGTGTGTGAGAACCAAAGAGTCGTCTTGTCCTCTTCTGGAACCCCACCTGGGGAACACAGGGCAGGGAGCAATTGAGCTGCATTGCAGGGACCCAGGATCACAGAAGTCCTCCTAGCAAATAAAGGGATGAAAGCACAGCCTGTTCTAAAGTCACGGAGCGAATAGCTAGTGGGGTTAACGTCGGGGCCCAAGAGCAAGAAGCAGAAGAGCCTGTTTGTGCAACGTCATGGCTTTGAATCGCCTCACCCTAGTCCTGGCGCAGAGGCCAGAGACGGAGTGGAAACCGGGGTAGAGGACCCACCAGAAGAGGTCAGGACACATGGTTATGGCAGGCGTCATGCCAAGGGTGAGACCTGAGGAGAAAGGGGGAACCCCCTTGCCCACCTCCAGTGAGTCCGGGGTGGCCCTGCCTTCTACTGGAGTCTCCAGAGCTTCTTCATCTCGAAGCTTGGCTCGTTTGTAGTCCACCATCTGCAAACAGTTCAGGAGCCACAACTGAGGTCAGGCAGCAAAGCCGTTTGCTCAAGACCCTGCCCGGGTGTCCCTCGCTGGGCCAGCTTCCTCCTACCTACAGAGAGGGTCCTTCCCAGGTGCCGGGCTCTCCGGCTGGGGTCCCCTCTGACACCATCCCTCTCTAGCCCGCATAAGAAGTCCCCGTCTCCGCAAGCCAGAATCCCTGCCAGACGCCGCCAGCTCACTCACGCCCTCCCCTCCACACTTCGTGCCCTCTCCACCCGGATCCTTTCCCCAGGAGCCCAGAGCCACCACTCACACTGCCTCCGCCACCCAGCTCGTGCAGCGCGACGTTCATGGTGGTGTGGAGCAGGGCCCGGCCGCGCCTTAGGGCTGGGCGAGGTTGACCCGCCCAGGAACTACGGCCCAGGCTACCCGCTGAGCCCCGGCGAGGCCCTCCATCACAGTCACTGCTGCAGCCCCTGGCTTGGCCGCCGCGGCCCCGGCTTTCCCAAGTCTCCCCCACCCAGCGGCGCGCCCGGGGGTGGGAGCGAGGGGGAGGGGCGGAGCGCGCGCGGCTCCCCGCCAGCATCGGCGCCCAGACCGACATCGTGGATATTGCGTTCCCCGCAACCGCTGCTCTGCATCAAGTCTGAGAGCCCCTCAGGCCAGGCACCCATAATTTGCTTTCCTTTGGTTGAGGCCCAGTCCCTGCTAATATTCTTTACACGAACTCTCCAAATTGCAGGCCTTCTCCAACACTTTTAAACACCACAGAGGAGTCATGCCCCTGCGAGGAGCCTGCAGGGTCTTTTTACAGCCGGCACATATAGATAGGTGCCATAGGCAGTTCACACCTATACAGGTGTCCACAGGACATCTACAACAGCACACAGACTCCAAGCACAAGTGCACACGGAGGAACTGAGAAGCCACTTCACTGATGATTCACAATGTATATATGCAAAAACCCACTGTCGCTCGGGACACACACAAGCACATTCCAAGTGTTAGGGCCGCATGCACTATACACACAGCTCACACTAATGCCACCCTTACACATTGCTTCAAGATGGCACTTTTACTCTCCAAGATAATTGCTGTCATCAGATCCTCTCATAAAGGGAGGGTTACAGATGGTGACAAATTGGCAGGGAAAAAAACAGCCATGCACAGATATTTAAAGAAAAGACATGCTAACACTTCTAACTCAGGAAGGCAAGCGATTTTATTTGGGAGGTTTACAAGAAAAAAAATAACACCAAGCAATATTTAACTGAAACGCAACAGTGTGGCATCCATGCATCTGCCATCTGCCTTCCGTATTGTCATTCCTTAAACAGGCAGGGGAGTGTGACAGTCTGCTGCACCAAGGACTGTCTCATGGTTTTTACAGTGCCAGGGAGGGAACTGGGGCACTGAGTCACCCCCTCATCTTCTTTCCCTGACCCCACCACAGGAATTTGACCTGAGGATGCTGTAGGTAGTGGTAGTGGATAATCACTTATTGATCCCACCTCAGGTCTCAGACATCTTGCTGTGAGTGGTTCCAGAGTGGAACATTCTTGTGGCTGCGAAAAGATGTGTGGTGAATTGATTCGGCTGAGAACTGCTGGGCTGCTTTCTCAGGCACCTTTTCATCCCCAAACTGCATGTTCTCAAGACAAAAACACAGTGCTGCTATTAGGATGAACAGTTCTGGATTCAGACTCAGTTTCTCCATCTGTAAAATGGAAGAGTAGTATCTACCTCAAAGTGCATTTCTAGAATTAAATGAAACAGAGTTGTCAAGTGATTGGCACACAAAGAGTATATTATGATTCAATCTGGTTTACCAGGTACTGGATATTAAACCAGGGACCCTGCGTCTGCTAATAGGTAATCTACCTCCAGATTATTTGGGAGTTTTAAAGGAGTATTTCTTTCTTTTTTTTAAGATTTATTTATTATGAATACAACAGCCTGCCTGCATGTCTGTCTGCACACCAGAAGAGGCCACCAGATCTCATTATTGATGGCTGTGAGCCACCATGTGGTTGCTGGGAATTGAACTCAGGACCTCTGGAAGAGCAGTCAGTGCTCTTAACCTCTGAGCCATACTAAAGGAGTATTTCTTGAGGCTGGATTGATGGCTCATTGGTTAAGAGCACTGGCCACTCTTCTAGAGGACCTGAGTTCAATTCCCAGCAGCCACATAAAGGTTCACACCCTTCAGTAACTCAAGTTCCAGGGGATCTAACACCTGGCTTCCACAGGCATTGCATGCACATGTTACACAGACATACATGTAGGCAAAACATCCATACACATCAAATATAAATAAATACATTAATGAAATGAAATTAAAGGTCAAATAACGTTTTGGGGGATGAGGTGTTTAAAACAATAATTATTTTGGCTGAGTATGGTGGTGCACACCTTTAATGCCAGCACTCCAGAGGCAGAGGCAGGTGGATCTATGTGAATTCAAGCCAGCCTAGCCTACATATTAAATGCGGGATACATATTATTATTAGTATTATTTTAAGGGAAAATCTCACTACGTTGTCTAAAGTGACTCTAAAGTTTCAATTCTTCTGTCCCAGTCCCCCCAGTAGTCTGCCTGATTTTATTTTACTTATTTGTTTATTTTGAGATAGGGTCTCATTATGTAACCAGAGTTGGTCTCCAACTTGCAGTGAGCTCCCTGCTTCTACAAGTACTGGAATTCTAAGTACACACCTCCATGCCCTTGCATTTTTTTTTTCCGAGACAGGGTTTCTCTGTATTGTTTTGGAGGCTGGCCTCGAACTCACAGAGATCCACCTGCCTCTGCCTCCCGAGTGCTGGGAGGGATTAAAGGCCACCACCCACCGGCCATGCCCTTGCATTTTAAGTATTGTTATCACTTAAGCCCTATAACTAGAGTAAGACTAGTTAGTCTGGAGGAAGCATGTTCTATTGCTCTGATGGTAGAGCAGGTTAGGTTAGTTAAGGATTTCCTAAGCAACACATTTTCACCTCTTGCCATACTGCAGTCTGAAGCAGCAATCTACAGGTTTGCTCATGCTCAATCTAGTGGCGATATGACATCCCAGCACTCACCTCTCTGCTTCCCTCCCAAAACTGGATGAAAGAGAACTCAGCACTTAGGAATCACGTGAGGTGGCCTATGCTTGGGAGGTAGAAGCAGGAAGACCATTTGTTCAGGGTCATCCTCAGCTATACAGTGAGTTTGATGCCAGACTAGGATATATGAGACCCTGTCTAAGAGCGAAAAGGAAAGGAAGAGCAGAAAATGAAGAGAGGGAAGGAGGGAGGGAGGGAGGGAGGGAGGGAGGGAGGGAGGGAGGGAGGGAGGGAAAAAGAGTCAGATCTGATGGTATAGGTCAGCAATCCCAGCTACTCAGAAGGATAAACAAATTTATTATACCTGCCTGGGCACCCCGAGTGACTTGGTAAGACCCTTGTCACAAAATCAAAAGGAGAAAGATGACTGGGGATATAGTTCAGTAACAGAGCTCTTGCTAGCACACTTAAGGCCTTAGGTTCAATTCCCCGTAACTGAAAGACAAGTGAAGGGAAACCAAAACCATCAAGTGTATACAACACTTCAGTGTATGTCGATTTGAATGAGAATAGTCCCCATAGGTTCATATATTTGAATACTTGATCCATTCCAATTGGTGGAATTACTGGGGAAGGAGTAGGAGGTGTGGCCTTGTTGGAGGAGGTGTGCCACTGGGGATGGGCTTTGAGGTTTCAAAATCACACACCATTCCAGTTAGCACTGTCTCTCTGCCTCCTGCTCAGGGACTGTAACCTCTCAGCTACTGCTCCACCACCATACCTGCCGGCCTGTTGCCATGCTCCCCACCATGAGGGTCATGGATTCACCCTCTGAAACCGCAAGCTTTCATTATACACGTTCTCCTGTAAGTTGTATTGGTTATGGTGTCTCTTCTCACTAAGACAACTGTTCTGGACATGTTACATGTATGGACTCATTCATCATTGTGACACAGTTACTCCAGTACTATTGCTACTCTTTTACCTTATCTCCTCTAAGAAGAATAAGATGAAACATCTGTTTTGAAACCAGGTTAACTTGGACTCAAATCTAGGCTCCATTTCTTATTAGCTGACATCTTTATCAAGTTACTGGACAGCACAAATTTTCCTTGTCTGTAAAACAAAAACAACATCCCAATCTCAGAGAACTAAATGCAACCACCCACACACGAGAATCTAGTACTTTTACAGCGTTCTCAGATTCAAAGGACTGAACCCAAATATTTTGTTTCATGTCTTCTTCATTATCAAAATCCATTTCTAGGCCCATAACTGCTCCTGTCTGCATTTTCATGGGCCACGCTGTATTAGAAACTTGGAGATACTTCTATTCTCTAGTTCTATTGCCTGCCCTTTGTGTTTATCATCTATTTTCCCTAGTCTCTTCTTTTTTCCTCCTTTCTGTGTTCTTCCTTTCCTATGTATGATGCATTTATTTGTTTCTAGCAGGGTCTTAGGAGGTAGTCTAGGCTGTCCTCAAACTTCCTAACCTACTGTCTCAGTGTCCAGGGTATTTGGTTTAGTATAAATACCAAGCCTGGCTTTCCATTACCAACCTTTAGCCTTCCTTTCCTTTAATTGATTTGAATGAAGGGAGAATGGGCAACACTCCTAAATTTACAAAGACTGTGTGGTCATGATGATAAGAAACACTAATGGTCAGCATTTACAGATGGGGAATATGGTTACCTCCATATGCTACATTAGCTTATAAATTGAGACATTCTTTTGTACTATGAAGGGTGCAAATGTGTGCACAGTCTGATCCAGAAGGTCTACTTCTAGAAAATTATGTTAGGAAATGTTATACAAAATATTTCTGTGTCAAATAGCTTTTGTTCCATAACAAACCACACCAAATTTAATGAGTTAAAGTAAAAACTAAACCAGACAGTGGTGGTACACACCTTTAACCTCAGCATTTGGGAGGCAGAGATAGGCTTTGTCTATAGGGTGAGGTTCATGACAGCCAGGGCTACAGAGAAATTTTGTCTGGAAAAACCAAAATAAATAAATAAAATAAGGGCTATTATTTTTCATGTTCAATGGTTTGCTTGGATAGTTCTTCAGGCCTGGGGCTGGATAATCTAGAATACTTGGATGGCCTCATTTGTTTCATGGGCTTCTGTTGGGATGGTCAAATGCTAAGTAGCTACAAAGTAACAAAAAAAGAAAAAGAAAAATTAATCTACTGTTATTCATCATTAGAGCTCTCACCAACAACAACAACAAAATGGGGTCATGCTCCAGCACACAGTCACCTTTCAGACCTTTGCTTCATCCATTTGCTAGTGTCCCCACAGGGCAAGCAAGCCCTGCGGTCAAAGTCAGACTCAGGAATGGAGAAACAGGCTCTACTTCTGTGTTGGGAGAGCTACAAAATATTGGGTTTTTTTCTACATTTGTTCATCACAGCACTATTTACAATACAACCCCCCCAAACCAAATAGGGAGGAAATAATGTATAAATGTAGAAGACTTGTTGAATAACTCAAACATCCACACAATAGGACATTATGCAACACATGCAAGTGATAGAAGAGGAATAGCTGATAGGTGAAACTGGCATGTAAAATGAAGAGAGGAATCGCTGATAGGTGAAACTGGCATGTAAAATGAAGAGAGGAATAGCTGATAGGTGAAACTGGCATGTAAAATGAAGAGAGGAATAGCTGATAGGTGAAATTGGCACGTAAAATTAAGAGAGGAGGGGATTTTCAAAGTCATTTTTATAAGGCAAAATGAATACATGCAAGCACAGGTTGATATTGTTGTTTTTTGTTTTTAGAGATAGGGTTTCTCTGTAGCTTTGGAGCTTGTCCTGGAACTAGCTCTGTAAACAAGGCTGGCCTTAAACTCACAGAACTCCTGTCTCTGCCTCCCAAGTACTGGGATTAAGGTGTGGGCCACCACCGCCCCAGGTTGAAAAATATCAGAAGGATGTAAACAAAATATTTTGTATGAATGTCCCCAATGATGGTATTACTTCCTTTTTTTACACGTATTTATTCAATATATGTATGTTTGCACATGCTATAGCACACATGTAGAGATCAGAGGACAACTGGTGGGCATTTCTCTTTCCATCATGGGGAATTAGACTGTCAATCTCGACAGCACATGCCTCTACTTACTGAGCCACCAAACAAGACTGATGCTACTCTCAAGCTCTTCATGTTTGTTTATCAACAGCTACCATTTCTATGCATTTTACTTGTTAATTTAATCTTTACAATCTAATAAAATATATCCCACTAAATAATTTTCCTGTATTATAGATGAGAAACTTAAGATACTGGGAAATTTAACAACCTGACCCAAATCAAATAGTAAATAAGGCTGGAGAGATGGCTCAGAGGTTAAGAGCATTGACTGCTCTTCCAGAGGTCCTGAGTTCAATTCCCAGCAACCACATGGCGTCTCACAACCATCTGTAATGAGATCTGGCGCCCTCTTCTGACTTGCATACATACAGGCAGAACACTGTATACATAAATAATAATAATAATAATAAACAAATAGTAAAAAAAATAAGGCAGGGTTCTGATTTGAATCTGGACTTTATACTCATTCATCACTACTCCAGTCTACCAAAGTCAACTTAAGTGTCTGGGGCTCCAGTGTGATCCTTGGTAAATGGATTCTATCATCACTGGGGTTTGCTGGTGGTCCTTTTCCAGGCTGCACAGTCAACCCAGAGCCTTATGCATGTTGTGCAAGCTGCTCTATCACTGAGTTTCACCCCCAGCCCTTGACTTTTTTTTTTTGAGACAGGTTCTCAATGTAGTTCAGGCTGACCTTGAACTCACTATGTAGCCCAGGCTACTTGAGATCTTCCTTCTTCAGCTTTCTGAGTGCTGGGTACAAGAGTGTGCTACTATGCTCCAGGTGAGGGATTTTCAATTAAAAAAACAAAAACAAAAACTCAAAGTACTATTACAATACTCCAAATTTTATCCCTTAGGGATGAAGAGCATCAAACTTTTGAGTAGAGGATCAGAATATAAGCAATTTCCTCACACTTTGCTTAACTACAATCCAGCATGCACAGGGAGAATAGATTAGTTGAGATTATTGTTTAAGATTTGAGAGGTTCAAGGCTAGCCTTGTCTATGTAACAAGTTCCAGGCCAGTCAAGGCTACATAGTGAGACCCTGTATCAAACAAAACAAAACAACAGAAAGGATCTGACCAGCCAAGTGTGATAGCACAGCCATGTCGGCTCCGTCCCCCCAACACTGGAGGCTGAGGCTGAGGGCTTACTGAACCATGGAACAAGTTTCAGGCTAGCTCAGGCTACACAGCAAGACCCTGACTTATAGAAAAATGAATGAATGAATTCCAGGTTAAATTATTATCCTTATCTCTCTCATCCTAGAGAAAGGAGATTTGCTTCAGTTGCCATACAATATCACCCTTGGCAGAACACCAGGCTCCTTCTTCAGCAGCTTAGGTGAGGGGTTGCTCAGTTCCGGAAACAACACAGTTGAGCTCAGGCCTACGTCATCACAAAACTGGCCTTAATGAACAGGCTCTGTTTTCTCTGTTTAGACCGGCTCAGAGAGGTGCATATATATGACACATTTTCATTAGGGAAGACGACGGATATACAGCCAAGGTTTTCTTGTGGTTTTCTTTATTTTCCTAAAGTTATACAAGTAGAAACTGATTTGTTTTCTTTTTCTTTCTGGTTTGTTTTTGCTTTAGGACAGGGTCTCACTATGTAGCCTTGGCTAGCCCAGAACTCTGTATGCAGGCTCAGCTGGCCACAGACTCACAGAAACCAACCTGGCTGAGCGATGGAATGAACGGCCAAGGCCACCAGGACCAGCACAAATGATTTAAAAACATAACATGATTATTGGACCTTTCATTCAAGGTCATTGAGAAAATGGCAGATTACGGATTGAAATTCATTGGTGTGCAACATCCGAGGGAGAGCGAGGGTGGTTCTGGGTTCTCTAGTCACCCAATTACTCCTTTCTTCCTTCCGGATGTCAGGGACCTTCTCACCGCAGGGTCCATCTGGCGGCCGAGTCCAGGAGTGTTAGAAGGACCCTCTGGTCAGGTTGGGACTCAAGGCAGTGCGTCCCCCCACCCCCGCACCTCCTCCCTACCTCACAGGCCCCATCCGGCAGCAGATTCCTTTGCAATTAACACCCGAATAAGTGGTGTTGAAGGAAGGAAAACCAGCACCCAGCAATCTCACTGGCTGCATGATTTGGCGGACTAAAGGGAAGGTGTCTTGCTTGGACAGAACCAACGGCGTCATTATTATCTTTACCAGCTCTTCACTGTGAGTGAATGAGACACACCCTCCCTCCCAAGGCCAGTGATTGCGACAGAGCCCTCTCGCACCAGAGACCGGGTGACGCTGCAGCTGACTGCTAGCCGGGCAGGGGCGGGGACAGGGGGGCGGTTAAAGAGGTAAAGGGAAGTGTGCGTGTTCTGATCCGTGGGGGGCGGGGAGGAGGACTCTACCACGGGCCCCAGCAACAAGGGCGGGGGACACCCTGTCCCTTCCGACGCTTACTAGCGCGCGCCTCGTGCTCAGGCACTCCGGGCTTCCCTGCGTCATCCGCATCCAGGGCGCCCGCCGCGATGCTGCCATTCATTTCTCCCACACTGCCAGCTAGAGCGAGCCTCCAGGGCTGAGGGAAGCGCGTGGAGCGACTGGCGCTTTGAGTCTGGATTTTGGCGCCAACAGCGGGCCTGGGGTTTGTAGGGAGTCTACTCTGGTGCGCGCTGCGGTTGCGGTGCTAAGATCCTACTGAAAGGCCGCAGCACAGTCTCGGGGGACAGACCCAATAGTACTCAGACAGGGGCCAGAGACAGAAAGTTCAGACCGACACACAGAGACCGGATCAGATGCACAGACGTAGACTGACAGATGCAGAGACAGTCGAATACAAACTGACCAACTGCTGGGGACCTGCGAGCGAGCACTAGGATACAGGAACGCGCCAACCACGGTGGCACCACCCCCAGGCCCCAGCTCTTCCCGCGCTCGGGTCGGCTGGTACCTTCCCCTCTCTTCACGCGTGTTCCGCCCTTTCCAGGGGCCTTTCAGAGTCCGGGCGGTGTCCACTGCCAGCCTGGCCGCCGCCTTCCGAGGCCCCGCCGCGCCCCCAGCTTTTGGCGCTCGGCTCCCAGGAGCTCTCCCCTAGGCACGGCGTCCGACCCTCCCTTCTTCCCTAAGCACTAGGCTACCCGCTCTCGGCTAGCTCTCGCCTGCACCGGCCGCTGCGGTTCCCCGGGGCCCACGTGGCGGCCATTCGGGGCCACACCGCGGGAACCTCCCACCGCGGCTCGCTCCACTCCAGGGATCACCGGGCTCGCTCCGACCGCTGGGCCCCGCCTCTTTCCGCTGGCCGGTGCCCGCCCCGCCTCCACCGCGCCCCGCCTGCCGTTCTCTGCCGCAGTCGGGCGCTCATCGTCATTCCGCTCTCGCCGCCGCCGCCGCCGCCCCGCCCCCGCCCGGTCCCCGCCGCTGCCGCCGCCGCCTGCCCAGCGGCCCGGGAGGCGGAGGCGCGGGGGAGGAGGCCCCGCTCGGCTCCGCAGTCCCGGATGCTGTATGACTTCATCCTTCCGCCGGCTCCCCTGCTGAGCTAGGGCCGGTCCGGCAGCTAGCCTCTGCCCGTGCCCCGCCGCAGTCCCTAGTCCACCCGGTGCCCGCCATGTCCGAGATCCTACCCTACGGCGAGGACAAGATGGGCCGCTTCGGCGCAGACCCCGAGGGCTCCGACCTCTCTTTCAGCTGCCGCCTGCAGGACACCAACTCCTTCTTCGCCGGCAACCAGGCCAAGCGGCCCCCCAAGCTGGGCCAGATCGGCCGAGCCAAGAGAGGTACGCGGCCCGGGCCCGGAGTCGCCGCCTGACCCAGAAACCCTTCGCCCGGCGTCCTCAGGCTGCCGGTCCCTGTCAAGTGGCAGCTGCTCTTGCCGCAGACCAGCGCAGCCAGCTGCGCACCCGCCCGGGGTGGGGAGGGTCCCTGCTGTGGAGTTGTCCCATTCTTTCCCTCTCCCGGGAATACAGTGTCCCGGATTCGAAGCTCGCCACTTCTGGAAAAGAGAGTCCTGGCTCCTGGTCGAGGGGGAGGGGCCGCCTCGGGTTTTTGGGGATGCCTGGCATTGGGAACGCAGGATGGTGGGCCCATTGCTTGGGCTAAGATGAGTAGGTGGATGTTACTGGAGGGCAGGGAGGCCAAGGGTTGGTTGTCTTGGTTGTTTTGCACGGGGAGGGGACTCCGGGTGCCAGCATCAGGACCGGGATTCAGGTGGAGGAAAGGGTTACACCAGGTGGCAGTTTCATCTGAGCCCAGTTTGAGGAGGGGGTCTCTGTCGAAGGGAGAGATTTCTCATCAGTTTAGATGGAGGAAGGCTCAGGTGACGGGAGGTTTCGAACTAGGAGTCTTTCGAAGAGGGGTGTTCACACACAGGGAGGTTTGGGTCTCGGGCTTGGTACCAGGCAGGGTCTGTAGAAGAGTTCGGATGAGGAGGGCATGGGTTTTGGAGTGGTGTCGCGGGAACATAGAGTAGATCTGCGCGGGGCGTGAGGACACGGGCCCCACTCCCGCCGCCGCCCCCCGAGACCACGCGGCTGATGAGCTTTCTCCCTGCGCAGTGGTGATCGAGGATGACCGGATAGACGACGTGCTGAAGGGGATGGGGGAGAAGCCTCCGTCCGGAGTGTAGACGCGCCGGCTCTGGCGGCGGGCTCCGGGCCCAGCCCCGCAGCGGCCAGGAGCACGGGCCGGCGATGCGGCTGCCGGCGCACCCCCGCCCGGGCCGAGGTGCCTGCGGGCGGGGGCTGCAGGGCCACGCCGCCGCGGGGTCGGTATTGCTACCGCCGCTGCCAGGCGCTCCGGAGCTGTCCGCTTCAGCACCACGGCGGCGGCGGTAGTGGTGGTGCGGACCAGCCCGGAGCCCGCCGACGCACTCATGCACTTTAGAACCTCGGGCCGCAGCTCCACCCCGCACACCGGAACCGACACAGAGACCCATGGCCCCCAGCCCGCCCCCTCCCGCACGGCTCCCCTGCCCCGCCCCTCCTCCGATCAATCTGGTCTGCAGCCCGGGCAGCTGCGGCGTCGGACTGCGCGGCCAGGGAGGTTTGGCTGCATATTTGCATGAGCTTCCTACCCACCACAGCCTAGCCCTCCGGGCCTTTCCTCAACTGTACCCCCGTCTGGCGTGACCCTAGCCTCTTTCTAAGGGACTTCCTCAGCACATTTGTATTTTTATATCCGATTCTTTGTTTACTGGCTCCTCTCATGGCTTGTGCCCTTCCCCCACAGCCTCCGCCATGCTCTTCTGCGCCTGGCAGATAGGACAGGTGTTGAGAATGGGATGGGACAAGCCCCCAACATGGTAACTAACCACATGGCCAG